GAGAACCACTAAAGTACAGGAATGGCTGAAGATAATCTCCCACTTCCTCTTCCCCTTGTCTTTTTAAATGGATTATGATACAAAGTCACATATTAGAACTAAAAGACTCAAAACAGCTTATGATAGGCATTTGAAAAATGAATTGTAGGCATTTAGTTTTATTCCCCTTCTCTTCCCCCAGTGGGAATGGCTTTATTGCTTTTTCAAATTATATATAATATATAAACAATATTCGTGCTCATAGTAAAAAGTACACACTATACTAGCCTTTCATACATTTCTTTATGCATACATGTATAATTTTACATAATGGGAGCTCATCGATATTGAAGGTTTTCTTAGAAGGGGAGATAAACAAGAAAAGAGATGACGTGGGTCTTATAACACATGGTAACCATAAACAAAGTTTGAAATACAGAATAGTGAATACCGAGGAAGTCCAGAAACATGAAAACAAAAAATGAGTTCCCGCCCCCGTTAGTCACTCACACCTTGCATCTTTTAACTAATAGTTGCCTTTCAGAAGACTTTATCAGTAACAGATGCCCAATAAAAGCCTCAAAAACTGCATATAAGGCTCAACATTTTGACAAAAGAAATGAGAGTCCAATTATTTCCAGACAAATTTGTCACATAATCAATGTTTCTCCAGACCAGATAGTATGACGCAAAAGTGCATTTTTAAGGCGTTTAAATACTTCTGCTATAGGCAGAAAAGTATTCGGAGAACTAGGAACCGCAGCTAGACTACAAAGTAGAAATCACAAGACTCTGAACAGAAAGACCCAATCACAGACGAAATTATGACATGAAACCGTAAGGGAAAAGTACAGTAAATTAACTCTGGTTATCTGCACACGATCACGCTTGATTTCAAAAATTCGTGCGTCTTTCCCACTGACAGCCCAGAGAGGCCGCGCCTGCAGCCTAACGTCTCCTTCTTCCCCGCCCTCGGCGCCCAGCGCCGCGGCTTGTCTATTTCTCAGGCGAAGCCGAGGCCTGCACGTACCAGACCAGACGCCGCCATATTCCGGTCCTGCGCAGAGGTTCCGAGGAGGAAGCCAGCACCGGACACGGCTCGAGAAGGCGAAGCAAAAACAAAAATCGCCCAGCTAGCTGCGAAGCGACGATCCAGTAACAACTTTAGGGCGAGATGCGGCGGCCGCTACAGCTGCGATCCTCAGGCCGCGCGCTTCCGGTGTTCCCGGTCCATTGACTCCACCCACAAACAACAAGAACGCCCGGCGCGCTCCGGAGTTTGAAACGGGCGGCACATGCGCAAAACGGACCGCGCTGTCCAATAGTAAGCAAGCAGTTATTGGGCCCGCCCCCTCACTTCTCTAGGGCGCTGCCCCGCCCGCCTGCAGCCCCTCCCTCCTGAAGCCCCGCCCTCCCGTCCTCCTGCAGCCCTGTTCACACCTCGCACCCCGAGCCTCACGCCGGTGACGGGCTTGAGGCTGTGCTTTTGCTGGAAGGCACGATCTTGGAAACCGCCTTTGCCTTTTGAGCCCTGTATAAAACTTCTCAACAGTTCTATTATGAAATAATTAGTACTACTTGTAACGATAAGAGGTAGTATTGGCAGAAAACGTTTTGAAGAGAAAGATTTCCCTGTGCAGATTCGTCAGCCACACCCAGCCTATCTATACATCATTTCTGAAAATAATAATACCGTGTAATACTGATGCTAATGATGGCTTGTATTTTTTCAAGTACGGGGGTGATATTTTTACGATGCATTGCCAACAAAATGACCTGTGTAAGTGTATCATTTAAGTATGATGTTCTGAAAAGAATTCTGTAACAAGAGTCCTGAAACCTGCCCAGCTATTGATTAGCTATGTCGTCTAGGGCAAAATTGTGACACCATTCTGAATGTTTCC